TTCTGAATGTTGGACTTTATATTGCAGTAAATTCAGTGTTAAGGAAAAATGAAAGGAGACTAAGGAGTATCTGCCAACCTACCATGATACTATCTGGGGTAGGAGAGGGAGAGAAGATTTGTCCTGCTGAATCCGAGCTGATCATGTTTAAATTAAATAAAGAAAACTAGGGCGGAGTCAGGGATAGAGTTGGAAAATGCGTTTGAAACTCTGTTTGTGCAGTCCAGTCACAGGGCCCAAGTTTTCAAATGCAGTTGGAACTCGGTTACTCGGTTACTCGGGTAAGCAGAAAGGTCCCCGGGTAGAGTCCAGTGGTCCTCCTTTCTTTCTCCCCCTTTCGGCCTGAAGGTCGCCCGGGAACGGCCGTTAGTCCTTTTTTTTCCCCCCTTTCGGCCTGACACCACGGCCAACCCCTGTAGTTATGATACCCGACCTATCACAGGGCGAGCGCTCGCCAGCGAGCTGCAGTGGGCCGGTGCGCCCACGCACGCACCCACAGACACACACAGACACACACAGACTGTCGGGGTTCAACCTCCTGATGAATGGCCCAGAGTCGGTGAAAGTCCGACGAAACAGTCTGGCACAGTCATGCTTTTTGTTTATTATTACATAGGGGATATGACAACACAGAGAGAGAGAGAGAGAGAGAGAGAGGGCCTCGCCACACCACTCTCGAAACGCGAAAATTTTTCGAGAGTTGTCAGACTTTTTCAAGAGTCGGGTTTTCGAGAGTTGAGGCGCCTTCGCCACACAGCACTCTCGAAAGGGCAATGGTGTTGGACAAAAGATGAAAAACGACAATCCTACAGCTTTGTCTTTCCGAATGGAGTCAGGATAACGGCCAGACAGCTCTCGAAAATCGAGAGTCCCTCAAGGGTTCCGCCGAGGACGCTTGAAAACGCACGAGTTGCAGGCTGGGCGTTTAGGAGTTTCGAGAGTCGACTCTCGAAACAAGGTCTGACAACTCTCGAAAGAGTTTTCGGGCCACAACTCTCAAGTGGCTGTGTGGCGACGGCTCCAACTCTCGAAAACCGGGTTTCAAGAGTGGTGTGGCGAGGCCCAGAGAGAGAGCTCCATCCAGCACTCTCCAAAATTGCAAAACGAGAATGAATACAAAATTTTGTACTATAGCAGACACAGGACAGTAGTGGAGGGAAGGATAGGCACATTATCCTTCCGTCGTTCGGGATAGAGAGAAGTCAGAGAAGGGCGAAAAAGCAATTACAGAGATTCTCAGATCGGATGGCAAGGAGCCATGGAAAATACATTCGAAACCAGAACAACATCTCGAGAAGTGGGACATGCCCCCTGGTCAGTTGCATGATGATATCTGAAGGCAATAGGCCCATAGACGTTTCTAACAAAAAAAGAAAGGCAAAAAGAAAAAGAAAGGAAGAAGAAAAGAGAAGGGCGAAGAAGGAAAAAAAAGAAAAAACGGAAAGGAAGAAGAAAAGAGAAGCGAGGAGGGGAAAAAAAAAAAAAGATTATGTGGAGCGAGGCCTTGATTTCGGGTGAAATCGAAAAGAAAGGGGAGAAAAGAAAAAGGCAAAGAAAAGGTGCAAAAAGAGAAAGGAAGGCCTTGATTGCTAAGTTGATTTGTAAAAAAAAAAAAAAAAAAAAGGAAGGCCCTTCGCAGCAGAGAGGGGGGAAGAAAATAAGAAAATGGAATCCAGAGTCTGATAACTCTTGATTCACTCTCTCTCGATTTTTTAGATGAATCCAGAGCAGTGGGGCGGCCTATTATGGCGCACAAGTGGTCAAGGGAGGGGAGGGGAGGGGAGGGGAGGGGAGGGGAGCGAAGGGGAGGGAAGGGGAGGGGAGGGGAGAGAGAACTACGCTCTAGCAGCGTTGAGTTTCCTCAGCGGCCAAATCTGGACGTGTTTGTGGAGATGTGCAGGACATTGCGACGTTGAGTAACTTAGAGTTTCCGCAACCGCACATCTCCACAATCGCGTCCAGATGCGGGTGTTGAGAAAACTCGAGGGTTCTAGTGGGACCTGGCTCCCGGGCAGGAGGGAGACCAGTCATGAGCAAGGCACATTTTTAATTTAAGTTAAATAATGTAATTACTTCATGAAACATAGGGCGTCGCTCCACCACGCTCGACATGCACAAAAGACAAAAAAGAATCATGGCGGTGCATCTTTCCATATTCTAGCGGAAGATTCACTCTCGTTTTGCACAGTTCGAGAGTAGTGCAGCGAGGCCCATACGGTGCCGTCTCCGTATGGCTGCGCAATGCGCGTAAGAGTGGAGATTAGGTTGGCAGCAGATGGCAGTTGTCACATCACCAGGGCCCGAGTCCGCCTTTTTCTGTTTTTTTTTTTGGGGGGGGGGAGGGGAGGGGGTGGGCGAGTCCGCGTTAAGTTACACGAAGTCTCAATTTCCGACCGTATAATATTGTAAGGGCCCACTCTCGAAATGTGCAAGACGAGAGTGAATCTAACGCTAGAATATGGAAAGATACACGGCCATGATTTTTGTCTTTTGTGCATTTCAAGAGTAGTGCAGCGACGCCCTAAATGTGTATGCATGTATACATATTACATATGTAATGGACATACGTCAAACTGGAATTAAATGGACGTCCGCTCTCTGTCTGTATGTGTGGAGCAGCTATCCAGGGCCTTGCCGCGTGGCAGCAACGCGCACTGCAGCTTGGCTGGTAGGACCTTCCATCGACAGAATGGAATTCAACAGAAGAGAAATGAGCCAGGTAAGATGCGTTTCCTCCTTTGGGGCTTGGGACGGGAGGGGGAGGGAAAAGGGGGGAGCAGGGGGCATCTAGGTAGCCGAATGCAACAGCAGACATATGAACATGTTCTTTTTTTTTTCCTATTCTCTTTTTTTAAAGCAAGCGTGCAGGTTCGAGATTGAGTTGTGGGACACTGGGACTTTTTTTTTTCCTATTCTCTTTTTTTAAAGCAAGCGTGCAGGTTCGAGATTGAGTTGTGGGACACTGGGACCTCAATTCCTGCTCTCTCTCTCTCTCTCTCTCTCTCTCTCTC